GACTCAGCAAGTTATGTCCTTCTGTCAAACTTATATGCTGTGTCTGGAAAATGGGATTCCAGGAACCAGACAAGGCAAATGATGAAAGAAAGAGGTGTGAAAAAAGAGCCTGGTCGTAGCTGGCTTGAGGTTAAGAATTCAATTCATGCATTTTTTGTTGGTGACAGACACCATCCACTGGCTGATAAGATATATCAGTACTTAGGAGACCTGAATGAACGAGCAGCTGAAATTGGTTATGAGCAAGACTTTTATGGCCTTTTGAACAATGTGGAACAAGGACAAAGTGACCCATCTGCATTCATTCACAGTGAGAAACTGGCCATTGCTTTTGGCCTCCTGAGTTTACCTGATGCAATTCCTGTTCGTGTGATTAAGAATCTTCGTGTTTGTAATGATTGCCATAATTGGATAAAATATGTGTCCAAGATATCAAATCGAGCTATTATAGTGCGAGATGCATATCGCTTTCATCATTTTGAAGGTGGTTCTTGTTCATGTAAAGATTACTGGTAAATGGAACTGCATGAAGATTGCTGGGAAATGGGTTCTATGGTTCTAGAAAATGCACTTCAATGCCAAAGGATCATTAGCCCCTATGTTCATTCACTGTTAGTGAAAGAATGAAGAATGTGGTAAGAATAAACCATGGAATGGGATCTATGTTTCTGGAAAATGCACTTCAATGTCAAAGGATCATTAGCCCGATGTTCAGTCAACATCAGTGAAAGAATGAAAGGATGTGGTAAGAATAAAGCCTTTCCTCATTACCAAATGTGTAAGGTGGTTGAGGTTTATATCTAACTACTATTTTCTCAAGTACTTAATGTCAAAAATTTTCCACATGGTTCTTCCTCTGTTAAGTTGTGTTTTCAGGAAGCATCCTTCAAGCTATCCACCTCTATTCTTATTTGAGAGTTGTGTTTGACCATGTGGAGATTGCGGGTAATATTTCATATACATATCTCATTGCATGGCAGCTTTAGAAGCAAAAATTTTAGTCTCTTAATTTGATACTCACTTATAACTTATTAACTTCATTTTCACTGTAGTCAAGTTCTTTCTTTTTATTTTTATTTTATCCCTTTGCAGGGTCAAAATGTCAACATTCCGCAGGAACCCAGAACTAGCTGGTTCTTCTGACTCTTCTACTGGCTCGAAGCCATGGTGCTTTGGAAAAAATACAAGTGGAACCACCCAATTTCTTCTGCAGATCAGTTCACCATAGTTATTAAAGTGGTTGCTCTTACGTTTCTCCTCATCATATTATTCTTTCTGTGAGTATCTCTGCCTGTTCATTTAGGAAGCTACTATACAAGTATTCAATGCAAGTATTCATTTAGGAAAAGCCAGAATATGAGTGTTCATTTAGGAAGCCAGGAAGTAACCTTTCTTACCATCATATCAAGCCATATCTTCTCTCATCCATTGTGGTCAACATGGAGGTACAATAGGGAGAGAAAGCACATATTGCTGCTTACATTCTCACATTATTTCTTTTAACGACCTTGTTACATTTTGCTAGATCTGCAAATCGTTTGTAAAAAATAATTGATTGTTTAAATTTACAAATTGTTATTGTCATGTTTTGACCTATGATGCATGCATTCGGTTGGGAATAAGGGTACACAGTTATGCCAACCCATAACTGCCCAGGCTGAAGAGAAAGATGGAGGAACTGCCCAGCCTAGCTGGATGCTTCGAGGCTTCAATGAAGCTGTTGAAACTTGTGGGCTAACTGAGGTTCACATGGTTGGAGGCTCTTTTACTTGGAGGAGGAAGATCCTTGAGAAACTTGATAGAGGGCTTGCTTCCGCTAGTTGGAAGGGGTTATTTTCTCGGGCAAAAATTCAATTGCTACCACCGCTATCCTCTGATCATAATCCTCTATGGCTAGTTCTTGACGGACGTAAGGAGCGCATGAACTCTCATCGGAAAAGATTTCGTTTTGAAGAAATGTGGTTGCGGGATACTGGTTGTTATGAGGTAGTTCGGACTGGCTGGCAATCAATTGAAAGGGAGGGCAGTTGGAGCTGTCTCTTGCAGAAGGTGCGTGAGTGTTCGAAAGGCTTGGAGTTATGGAATTCCAAGCAATTTGGCCATGTGCAGCAGCGTTTAAAGCAGTGCTCCAAGAGACTCCAGAATTTGCAAAATCAGGTATGCTCGGAGGCAACGAGTCTTGTAGAAAAAGGCATTCTGGATGAGACCGAGGAATGGTTGGAAGGGGAGGAGATTATGGAATTGAATCGTTGGTTAAAAGAAAAAAGAAAAAAACGAAAAAAACAAACAGAAAGAAAAGAGAAAAGAAACGTAGTCACAGAATCACTGGATAGGAGCTATGTCGGTGGTGAAGGCCCAAGAAGGATAATGATTTGCGGGACGAAAGTGGGGGGCGAAAATGGGAGCCGACAAGTGAAGACAAGTGAAGTTGGTTAAATTACAAAATTATCCATTTAACCGACTTCACTTGTCGGCTCCCATTTTCGTTCCCCACTTTCGTCCCGCAAATCATTATCCGCCCAAGAAATGTTTTATGTCCAACTTGTATCTAATACAAAAAAAAAAAATATATATATATATATATATAATTAAAATTTGATGAAGCTCAGAAAGATTATATCAACTAAAAAAAATTAGTTACCATGGCCAAAGAAAGAAATCTATTACCTGTTCTCAAATTCGGCTGGCAATAAACCACACCTTTTGCATCTATTATTTTCATGAAATGATAATTTATATAAGCACTTTTTACATGCCAAATAAATCACCTTTTATCAACTTGAAAACCAATAACCATATCCTCTATATTGAACCTTCTCTCGTCTTACTTTGTAAAATAATTTTAAAAAATTTTCAATCTCATATTAATTATTTTATTCAATAAAGATAAATAATAATATAGAGTATAACATGGTACATACTTGGAATTTAATTTGGTGAAGTTAATGAATTTAATTAGTCACTAATTTTTTAAAATTTTTTTCAACAAATATAACTTTTGGTAAATTAAAAATCATTAATTAAATTCAACATGTCTAATTAGAAAAGAATTTTTATCTACATTACCTATCAAGCAACTCTTTCACTTCCGGCAAATTTAAATTAATATAAATTTTCGTAGTGGACATACTACTACCTTATATTAATTAAACCTATAACCAAAAAAAAAAAATTGTTATTTAAACTTTAAACAACAATAAAAATTGACAATTCAATAATAATAATAATTTATTAATAAGAAGAAGAAACATACCATCATATATACGAATAAAAAGTAAAGTAAAAATCACAATAATTGGAGTAGTATATTTCAAGGCATTAAACGCCCCAAATTGGTGATTAAATTTATTTCAAAACGTAATTGAAAATATTGTCTCCCTCTGTTAAAATAAAAAAAAAAATCTTTGTAAGTATAAATAAATAAAAATAACTCATAATTAAAACAAACAAATTATATTATTTAAATTAAATTTTAAACTTACTCAAGATCTTTAATATAAAATTTTGATTTTGTGCCCTCCCCCCGCCTTGTATTACTAACTCTTTCAACCCCAGTTATAATACCAAATTACCAACGAAATCTGCAAGAACGAACCCATTAAACTGTAAGATTAAAAAAAAAAAAAGCAATTGTAAAACTGGTCAAGTACTTAAATCATCGATATAAATAAAGTTCATATTTACCAGTGAAACCCGTGTAATAAAATACTTGTGTATTGCATCGGTCTAGACACGGGTTTTCTAAATTATGCTTTTAAATAAAACTCGTTTAGTTTCATATAAA